GTGGGAAATATCGACGGAAACCATCGCGATCTCCGTGTCGGCCGTACTTCACGTGAGTTGAGAGCGGGAGAGCGAAGCCCGGGATCATCGAGACCGTCTCTCCCTCCCCCCCCGAGATGCAGCGCGTCTGGCAGGAGAGAGCGCGACAGATTTATTAGATACGCTGTTCCGTAATTGACCGCTCAGATTACGCCCTCGCGTTACGGCTCTCCAATTTCCAATCTTGTCTTTAGTTCGGCATTGATAAGATCTTTTAACGAACGTCCTTCGTTTTATGATAGTCCGCGTTCGGCGCCGCACATCCGAGGCCGTGCTCTTTTACATTCGAGCGAGCGAGAGAGAGGAGAATGAGATAAAAAGGGAGGAGGCGCGCTCCGACGCCTCGGATTTGCAATGCCGAAAGCTAATCTCGAGTCTCTCCTGCACTCTCGTTTCCGTCTCTTCCGTTGAGAAGAGAACGGGGGTAGACGAGCGTGGCGCGTCGAGTTGTGTTGGAACAGAGAGAAAAACCGTTCTCACGCGTCGGGGAACGCGGTGGCTACGGTGTCGGCGGATTGCGAACCGGCGATCGCGCGGGCACTCGGCCAATCCGGCGTTTGTCCCGGTCGGCGGGAAACTCCGGGGGTCCGATTCTTGAATTCATTCGAAGAAGAAACGTATACGAGAATTCTGCTCTGACGGAAAAGTTGAAAGTCGATTGGTTAAAAGCCACGCGACTACCCAGTGAGAAATGATTCGTCGATCGACGTCGATTCGACATCATTTCGACGTCGATCGACGAATCATTTCTCACTGGGTAGCCAATCAACTTGCAACTTTTCTGTAAGAGCAGGATCTTCGCATTTCTCCTTCGAACAGACTCCAAGAATCGAGCCCCAGGTCCTCGCGGGATTCGCGACCCGCAATAATCGCCGTACGGTCCGACGCCGGGGCTCAATGCGCGCCATACGCGGCGAATCGCCGCGCCGCCCGATTGGCCCGTCTCGCCGCGTACCGGCGCTCGCGATTGGCTCGCCGGCGAGGCCCGAAGATTTCGAATGTTCGCCGACGAGGTTCGGGAAGCTCCCGGTGGCGCCGCGTACGTTCTTCGCGGCGTCGCGTCGCGTTCGAATTGCGCTCGGCCGTCTCCTCGCGACTTCCGTCGCTCTTCTCCGAGGTAAGTAAGTTCCGCGCTTTCCGTGGGAAATATCGACGGAGACCATCGCGATCTCCGTGTCGGCCGTACTTCGCGTGAGTTGAGAGCGGGAGAGCGAAGCCCGGGACCATCGAGACCGTCCTCTCCCCCCTCCCCCCCCCCGCCGCGATGCAGCGCGGTCTGGCACTCCTGGGTCTCCTCGCGACTCCCGTCGCTCTTCTCCGAGGATCCCGAATCCCGGCGTTTCGTTGGGAATCGCCAGCGGTGCCGCGAGGCACGCGAGGTCCGTCGCGACGGGACGTCGCGATTTCGGGTCATCGGCGCGTCCCTTCGCTTCTTCGCGAACGGTCAGCGAAAGGCGAGGGGCGGGGGGGGGGGGGTTTGGAGTCGGTCGGACGCCGTGTGCAACCCCGCGTACGTTTCCCCCGTCGGTGAAGAGCCGTTCGACGCGTGATTATTGTCCAGGTACGTTGTTTCGCCCCTGCAATTCAGCCGCGCTGTGATCTTATCCTCTCGCGGCGACTCTACGCCGATTCTCGACCGAGGAAAAAAACGACTTCGAAACTCGGCGCAAAATGGCTCTGTTTACCGCAGCCGCGGACCTTTCGGGGCTTTCGTTCGGCGAGTTTTTTTTAATTAAGATAATTTTCCCTCCAACGGCGGACGAATGCCGCTGTGTATTCGGTTACGCGTCAAGTCGGACGCGGACGAGCGTGAGGCTGCGGTCCCATGGACTGATATTTCTCGCGTAACGCGTATCGCGTAACCAATCAGAAGCGTATCCGCGTTTTCTGTTACGCCTGTGTCAAATGTCATCGTTCACATAGACGAAAAATTTGCGTAGTAGATACTCGCGTAACCAATGAAGTGTAACATTTAGAATTTCTGTTAGAACGTGCCAAGAGAATTGATAGATATCATTGGTTGTATCCGATACGCTGCTGTTGTTTTGTGTTCCATGTGCACTAAGGACATTCAATTTCGCGTAAGAGAAAACGCGGAACGTCTATGATTGATTACGCGATACGCGTTACGCGAGAAATATCAGTCCATCCCATACAGCACGCATGTCTGAAAGATATCTTTAAGACATCTTTAAGTCATCTTTTAGATATGTATGTCTAAAAGACGACTTAAAGATGCCTTAAAGATGTCTTTTAGACATGCGTGCTGTATGGGATGGGACCGCAACCTGAACGAACAGCTCCAGCGTGCCTGGGGGGCTCGAGATTCTCGAGTCTACTCGAAAATTCTAGTCTTGTGGAAAAGAGCTGCGAGTCGATTGGCTGAAAGCTACGCGAATTAGCCAATCGACTCGCAGCTTTTCGGTAAGAATTTTCGCATACGTTTCTCTTTTGAATGAATTCGAGAGTCGAGCCCCTGATGCCTCGCCACGCCAAGCTGTTCCCTCTCAGGTTCCCTCTCGGTTCGCGCAAGCCGAGAACCGGCCTGGCACGCGGAAACTCGCGGACGTTCGTCTTTGCATAATCGCGCCTGAAGAATTACAGAGAAATCGTACAATCGCTAATATATGATACTTTGATATTGTGATTTCAGTATCGGCAATTCGGAGTCGACAAGAATTCTCTCCACGCTGTCGTCATCTCCTCCAAGCATAGCGATCGTTAGTCAACGTTCTACAATGCACTGCGTCGACGCTACTTCCTGCGCTTTCGTTAGCGAAAGTGATATCGTTTAGTTCGTCCTCGGCGATTGAAATGAAACATGCTAATCGCACGTCCGAGCTAATATACCCTGGTAGCACAGTGCATTAGCTAAGCAATGGCTAAACGTTACTCCAATGTCGGTTATATTAGAAATGCATTGGCCGATATTGTCCAACGTAGAGCCAATATTGGCCGTGGAATAAATGTAAACACTGCACGATGATAATTATATAGTATTAGATTGATATTGGAAGTGCATTGGCCAATGTTTAACGATGTAATAAGAATTTTGGTCTAATATCAATGCCATATTAAACCAATATTGCTAAATAGAAGGCGTCCGTCTGACAATATTGGACCAATATTGGGAATGCTAGATTTACATTCTTTCCCAGCATTGCGCCAGTGTATTGTGCTACTAGGGTAAGCAATCTTAAGCCACCGGCACACGATGCTCTTTTGCTTGCTGATCTATCACGTGGAATCCTGATTGGCTCTCGCTAGCTAGTAAAGGTGCGCGCAAGCATGGTGTGCCGCTGGCCTAAGTAAAAGAATGAATCTCTA